GTGTGCCTCCAAGAACCACGACCTTATCTCCTCCACCAATTGTAACAGCATTATGGTACGCCAACGGTAGTGGACTGTTACCAGTAGGCTGCATTCACAGTAACAGTTAGCAAAAAGGTGCAGTCAAATGTTGCGTTGGGGTGTAGCACGTACCGAGAGCTGCTGCCAGCGTGGCTTGTGTCCTGGAGTATTCACTGTCAGCATCCAGATATCCGACAAAGTTGCACCTTTAGAATTCTTTCCTCCGAGGACGAGAATGCCTTGAGTAGGCGGGCTTTCTGGGTCGCTAGTAGTTTCTCGATATACAACTGCAGCACTGGCATGCCACGCTCGCTCGCTTGGAGCAGGTAAAGGTGGAATAGTAGGATCTGTGCCATCTCCACTGATCGGAGTGATATCAATGCAGTATAGGACGTCTTCCTCGTAGCTGATCTCGAACATGTCGCCTATGAGCCCGTTCAGTGAAACCTCGAAGCCAACGCTCGGATCTAGTGGCTCACCGCCAAAGGTGTAGGCTTTCTTGTCCAGCGTGACCACAGAGTGGCCGATACGGTGAGTGAGCTCCCCGTGGACATCGTACCCAGTGAGCCATTTGGTAGTGTTCAAGTCAAACAAATCCAGTCGTGATACGCTCGTGAAGCTCTCACTTGGCAATTCTTCTTTGCCTCCAACAATCACAGCGCTATTGACAAGCAAAAATGCAGGAATTATTATGTGATACACTTTTCAAGAAGACACAAAAACTTTTCCTACATGTGGCCATTTAGGATTCCTGTGCAGGCTCCAGACAAGCTGTAACTCTCGTGGGGCTCTCGGTGCTTCCTCTCTAGTGTTCGAGATACGTGGATGCCCCACGATGTGAAATTATGAGACTTGACAACACGAGTCAGTACCATCAAAACCAACCAGCACGTGCATGGATCTTTGGTTCTCACCTCTAGCCACTTCAACTCCTGTCCATCAAATGCCATTTGTACCACCAATTGAGAAGAATATCTTGCTGTATGAAGAGCCGTCAACGCTTGCGGAACGTCGAGTGAGTGTGTCTAATTCTATATCGCGCAGTCGACAACGATTCCTCGACTCAGCCAATAACGGGAACAGATTAATTTCAAGTGCATGTTGGATCACCTGCAAGTAAGCGCGAGTTTGAAATATGCAATGAGATTATGCAGGGCCTCCGAAAATAGCTTTGTCAATAACATTATTTACAAAAATAAAAATAAATTATGCGTTTTTGTTTATCACCTCGATGTTCAGATAATTTATCATTTCATTTTTGATATTGCATAATTTATTCACACTTCCTTTATATAATTATTTTTCATGGCAGCCATTCAACTACTTTTCCTCAGTCAACGCCAATCTTCATGTTAGTCTACCCTCAAGCCACAGCTTCATTTTTGAATTCCCTACGCAAGACTCAAGCCCTTAGCCCAAATGGTTCGTGCCGTCCGACCTAGCAACCCTACGTACACCAACGCCCAGGTCTCGGGCTTCTACTTCCGCCCGTGTCGCGACGACAACGATTAGGTGATTCTCGAGTACTTTCGTTGCTGTTGCGGCACGGTGCGGAAGCAATCACATCGCAATGGATTCTCGAACCTGATGCAGCACGTCAGACGAGAACACCCCGACTACGCAGCCGTCATGCTCGAGGCTACGACAGCACAAACGGGCTCGCTGGTGAACTACGTTCGTCACTCGGCTTTCAACCTGCATGCGTGGATGAGCTGGACGATCACATGCAACTTGCCACTCTCTTTTTGCGAGAGTCGTGAAGCAAGACGGTGAATTTATCTAGTTTCTAAAAACTTTTTTTTATCTACCTGAAGCTAACAAATGCATGTATGAATGTGGATGTATGTAAGCTACTCAAACCTGGACCCGATCTCGCAGGAGACGTTGCCTGATGCCATGGACGGGGTCATCGTCGCCGTCGAGCGTTCAATCGCGTCGGAGATTCCGACGCGATTTGGTTTCATGCTCGACGGACACATGCGTCGGAGCAATATATTGCGGTCTTCGCCTGCTATGAAGTGAATGGGTCTCCAAAGACACCTTTGCTGAGCATGGCGCCGCTTTTGGACGCACCGGACAACGACCTCTCTGCTCAAAGACACCTCGATTTCCTGGCCGACATGCTTCCCCGTGATTACGGGGTACAGCTGGAGCAGTGTCGGTTTTTTGTTGCCAACAACTGCTCCGTAAACCGACGGCTAGCAAATCTGATGGGAATTCCGCTAGTAGGTTGCGCCAGTTATCGATTGAATCTCGCAGTTCAAAATGACATGTTGGCTCATGGGGAAGATTTGGCTGCAGTTCAGGCACTCATGAGCTTCGTACGGTGACACAATCTGCAAAACTACGGTAAGCCTTATTTGCGTAAATTTGGTGTGTTGAAATTTCTAACC